AGAAAAAAAAATGATCTTTCATCATTATAGATTTCGTGCATATAAATAATCTAACACTTATCATTATGTCATTATATCAAAGCGGTTAAGTTTTTTTCTATACTGAAAAACAAAACTTCAATAGAAGTCTATCAAAAATGATAATTTGATCGTTGTCTAATTATAATTCAGCCTGCGAATATCTATAAAAAAATGTTACTTCAGTAAATTCTATTATATGTGGAAAAAAAAAATTTGAATAAAATCTGCTACATATAAATACACTTAGAATGTACAGAACTACCACTAGAGGGGTATCGAAGTCGATCAACCGGAAGAATGCGGGTGATGTGACGTCTATCCAATCAATGAAAATGTCCGTTTCTTTTTCCTTAGTGCAGCCTCAAAAATGAACTCATTTGTGTTCGATTATAAAAAAAGAAAAACTAATTTGTCTTCGCAACAAAATAATATCCTTGTCTAATTTTTGATGCCTCAAGCAAAAACTGGATAAACACGTACTACATACAGTGAACAATGACGAATTTAGTCGGAGAGTACAAAATATGTTTCGTTAATCATGATCACTACTATTTTTCGGTTGAAACGCTCGACACTATTGAAAATCATCTCAAAGATAAGTCTCAGATAAACTATTATTATAAACCGCACTGTACAATGAAAGATAACCATTTATTAATTAGATTTTATACAAATTGAAAATTTTAAATGAATATATTCTGATAAAAATATATCTAGTTTTCAAAGTTTTGAGATGAAAATCTTAAAAAAGACTAAGTTCAAAATTCTAAAAATTTCTTTTGCAAAAATCTTCAAAATCGTTTTGATTTTTTGAAAAACTTTTTTAATTAAAAATTATGAAAATAATAAATGAAACACAATAGAAAATCCTCCTGAAATCTTCGTATGCTTGAACGTAATAGAAGATCCAGAGTATCCTGTTGCAAGATGAGATTTAATCTATACTCATCCTTTACTTTCAACTCATTTCTAACACACAATAGTAAGATCATTCCAAAACAATGTTGAATATTTCTACAAAATCTATTTCTCTATACGTGTTATACTCTAATGATATTAGTTATCTTCGTCGTAGCTAACTTTTCATCAATTAAGAAAGAAAAAAAAACATTGCTATTTTAACTATATATACTATCATCACTTGAATATGTCAAATATGACAAATGACCATTCTGTTTTTAGTATTGTGTGTGATAGATATCAAATAATGTATACTTTTATAAATATTGTTTATTGGCTTCATAAGTCATGGTTGTTACATTTGTTTGATTTTCAAGAGAATAACATATAAAATAGAAATTTTTCTTTGCTAATCAATATGAAAATAAAATTTGATTGTCTATATATTCAATAGAAAAGAACAGAAGTCGTTAAAGACTTCAAAGTCTAACAAAAAAAGAACAATGATACAGATCATTGATCATTAAAGAAATTTCAAAAAAAAAAAAAAGAAAAATGTTATTCATAGTGTGAATAGATTAATTATTTTTCGTGATAGAAATAAATTAGAATATAAATATAGGTGTTTGAACTATTCTTAAAAAAAAAAAGAAATTTAACACTGAATCATTCAGTAGACTCAGTGTGAAGTGATATGAATAATAATCATTGTCGTTTTTTTTTTGTTTTCATTCTAGACATTCCATTGGATGGTAACAAAAAAGGAACCAATGATTGAAAACGTTCAACTGAATAAAGAAGAACAAAAAAAGGAAGAAAATATTGAAAAAAGTAAAAGAACAATGTTCTTTTTTTTTTATGAATTCAAATGTTTTCTATAAATATGTTTTAGATGTAAGAAAAACACGTCCACAATGGGAATCAGCTGAACCAAATAATGATTATCTTCGAAAATTTCGTAATTACGAAATTTAAATATTGAGATATATATATATGATGTCTTTTTTCTTGTGTCAGTGTAACATATGTTGTCTGGTGTTTGCCTAATATTTAAACTAGCATTTATTATGTATTGTTTAGTGGTGTTTATATTAATATTTAATAAGTAAAATATGTTCTGGTTCAAGGATTTTTATTTTAAAAAAATCTTTTTTTTTTTTTTCTAATAATGATGAAAGCAAATTTACTATTGAATAAAAAAGTCTGGAGAATGAAGTAACTAAAAAAAAACAATAAAGCTTTAAAACATTGATTTGATGTTCAACTATTGTATATGATGATTACAAATTGAAAAAGAAAATATTTTTATCCGATAAATTTTTTTGAATTAATCGTTTTTATTAAAATTTGATGTTAAAAAAAAATAAAGATTTTTCTGTTGTTAAAATGTTACCGAAAATTTGTCAATTATGAAAATCAATATTTTTTCTATGAATTGTATTTGTTGATCGATATGTATTTATAATCGTTGAAAATATTATTTATTTGTATTTGAGGTCATTTATTCGTTTGTCGTTGAAATAAAATTTCCCTGATAATCATCGAATGATTCATATATTTCACCATTTTTCTGATTACATAGCTATTTATCAAATAGCATCTGTTTAGTTGTTGTTTTCTAGAATAAAAAAAAAACCCTCGAATATTTATCGTTCCTTTTCTTCATATCATAGATACATGATATATCTATATTAGCCTAGTTAAGTACAAGGCCGACAGAGAGAGAGAGAGAGAGAGAGTGAAAGGGAGAATGATCAGTACGTTTTCATTTCTATATATGATAGACACCATTCAAAATAAAAATCAGTTATATCACATATTGTTTTAGTCTAAATTCGAGCACTGACATCAGTTTAGTATAATGCGAGAGCTCAAATATATTCATTGTCGAGATAATAATTATAATAATAGTCTATCTAACTATAATCGATATTATTATTCTCATTCAACAAATATATATAATTATTTATCATATAATAATATTCATCATTATCAACAACAACTACAATTAAAACGTTTGTCAACTCGTATTCGACAACAAATTCATATAAATCAATGTCAACGACAACTTCTTCGTTCACATCGATATTCACAACAAAAACAAGAAAATAATAATAATAATTATTATTATTCAACAATTAAAGTAAAAAACAAAAGAGTATTTTTTTTTTAAATTAAAAAAAAAAAAGAATTTGTTAACAGTTTCAGACGAAATGTAATCAAGATCAAAATTGGTTTCGTGCTCTTTTGAAATGTGTTTCTCCATCGACATCTACATCTGTAAGTATTATACTTCTTCTTCTTGTAGATGAAATTTTCCAATAAAATCAGTTTTCTTTAGTCTATTTCAAATCAAAGTTTATCACCATGTTCACAATCAACTTCATCATCTTATAAATCTACTAAAATATCTCCATTAATTGATTTTTCCATTAAACCTATAATAAATTCATCATTAAACACTTGTCCAAGTCGTATAATATTAATTGTTGATGGTGCATCAACAAGTCTTAATAATCTTTATCATATGTTTGAACAATTAAATATTGATTTAATTATGAATAATAATAATAATAATAATAATACAAAAGTTCAAGTTGAACATGATCTTTGGTGTCTTGGTGGTCTTGATGCTTATACATTTATATTAGCCGATTCAAAATCATCAACACTATCATTATGTATAAATAAATTAAAACAATTTCAATTAACTAAAAATGATCTTTTTTGGTTTACATTTCCACGTATACCATTAAAATTAGATGAAAATATAATTGATAATGAATTAAATTTATCAATTAAATTTGAATTTATTGATTCATTACTTAATCCATTTGAAATAAAAGATAATGAAATAGAATTTGATAAAAAAATTTGTTTACTTAATGAAGATATTTATGTTGAAATGAGTTTTGGTTCATTAGTTTCATTAGGATCATTTCATTGTTTTGAAACAATTAAAAAATTTAATGGAAATATTCGAACATGGAAAATGATATTTTATCAAAATCATTTTGATATTGATTATCAAAAAACTTCAACAGATAATTCATTTGAAGAATATAGAAAAAGAATTAAATCAGATTTTATTGATAATTGTGCTGTTATTAATACATTAAATGATGGATTTTTAATTTATCTTAATATGAAAGCTAATTGTATTGATTATTATAGTGAGTTCAATTCTTCGTTTTTTTTTTCTTTACAGACTCAAAGAAAAAAGCAGTTCTGATGTCATGTTGACTTTTGTTTTTTATTTTATAGATCCTGATCGAACAAAACCTGGTTTAGATAATTTTATACGTGTTGCACCACGAGAATCACGACCATTATGTTCGACATTTCGTCTTTTAATTAAAATGGATAATAATGCTCATTCAGAAAGTTTAACAAGACATTTACATGAAATCAAACTTGTATTTTCACATTTTTTATCATTTTTTTCAAGAAATTATATAGCTATTACTTATGGATCCATTCAAACATCACCTGGTTTAATTCTTCGTCCATTAAAACCATCGTTTTCTTCATTTATCAAAAATTATGCTTGGTCGATTCTTGTTTCACTTGGCTATCGTTTTCATCAACGTGTAACACCATTATTTACAGCGAAAATGTATACTATTGAAGATGATGAAGATTTTTATCATACATGTATACATTTATGGAGACGTACAAAAGAACATTTATTTGTTGATTTATATGAAGAACTAATTGATTATTTATCACGTCAAGCACGCATACGCGCTGAAGAACGACAAACATTTGTATTAAAAACAACAATAAAACAACCACCAAAAAATTATCAATATGTACCCAGTGTAACATTAACACCAACAACAATTATTATTAAACCTTTAAAATTATGTAAAACAAATCGAGTTTTACGAGAAAAAAAATTTGGTGGACCATTTAATTTTGCATTAGGTAAAAAAAAAGAAAAATCTTTAATTTTAAAAATCGATTATTTTTTTTTTTTGTTTTTTTTTTATTAATTTTATTTCTAGTGGAAATTCGTGAAGAAGATGGTGGTGTTTTATATCCACTTGATTTTCGACAAATACGTTGGAAATTAAAACAATTATTAGTTGATGGTTTTACAATAGTACCAAATCGTCTTTATAAATATTTACATCATTCACAATCACAATTAAAACAAAAACAATTTTGGTTTTATCATCATAATGTATCAACAAATAATATTGATGAATATAAAAATCTTTCCTTTGAAGAAAGTTATTTATGGATGGGTAATTTCGATAGTGAACGTGTTGTTGCTAAACATACAGCACGTATTGCACAATGTTTTACAAGTACAGAAGAAACAATTCAGGTTTATAAGAAAAGAAAACTTATTGTTTTCTCTAGAAAATAAATATATTTGATTTTATTTAGATTCCAGCAGAATATGTAAAATATATTAATGATGTTGAAACAGCTGATGGAAAATATAATTTTACAGATGGTTGTGGAACAATGTCGACCATATTACGTGATGAGGTTCGTCGTTCTTTTTTCTTCAAAACATTTTGTATAAAATAGAGATATGAAGAAAATTAGACAGAAAGATTAAATTCAAATCATAGATACTGATTAATGATGTCTGAAAATTAAAATCAAAAGTCTTTTGTAACTATAAGAAAATGAGTTAAAGAAACAAGCATAAGAAACAAGTTTACAGTACATGTTTGAAATAGAAACTAAAATTTGTATTATGTTTCACTTCGTCATGCGTAGACATATACTGAGATTGAGATGAAGGTTTTCAGTATGTATCTATTTATGTCTTTTGTGAAATACGATTTAAAACAAGAGATGAAGTATTGAAGTATAAATTCGGACCCTATCCGCCCTTTATCTTCCGAATAGATCGCGACAGATGTTGTTGATATACGATCAAAGACTATATATATATCATTAATGACTCGTTCTAATATATGAAGTACTTCGTGATAGTATTTTGAAGGACTAAGTACAAGGATAGTAAAGAAACGTGTTCCAAAATAGATAGAATAAATCAATTTCTTTGTAATTAGTAATAGCAACTACATCGTTTTTCACATTTTAATCCGACAGAGATTATGCTAACAACTTTTCTTGAATAAAATTGGATAATTATAAACATTATAGAACCTATCATTAGTATTTCTAACTAGTAGCGGCGCCAGGATTTCAGTTCAGGGTGGGCTCATCATGGGTTGAGCCCACCCTAACCCACACAAAGTGTTCTTTTTACATAGCTTTCAAAATCTTTCAGGGTGGGCTCGATGTAAATCAGGGTGGGCTCAGCCCACCCTGGCCCACCCCTGGCGCCGCCACTATTTCTAACCAACACGAAATCACCGGTGCATATGGTTACGTCAGTCTCTAAAGCAGATTCTCCGCTTTTCTTTGTTTTATAGAAAAGGAATAAAAATCGACTCACGAGCCATTAGCTTCATTTTTCGTAGTGAAGATTTGCACACTCAATTTTCATCTATTAAGGCTTTTTGTAATCTGAGGTACTGCATCGGTTACAGTAATCCTCTGGACTGCCTTGTGCTGCAATGTTCTCTTGCTTGCGTATAAACATTTTGCACATCTCAAACTATAAAATGGTACAACATATACTGTATAGAGAGTGTTACAACGTTAAAAGTACGAAGAAACCATTCTACTTATCCTCAGTTCTGACTCCTGTTTTAGTTTTATTAAAGTTGTATTTTCAAAAGCATAACTTTTGATTCATGAAAAATACGTTAAATGAATATATATAATAAATTATTAATAGTAATGCTATGAGAGATTGTCTGCAGTATTAATTCTATATGTCAATACAATTTTCATTTGTAATTTTTATTGAAATCTGTTTCTTCGAATTGGAATATAAAATGATTTTATTTTATTTTTTTTTCTAAATAGATAAAAAACAAACTTGGTCTTCATTATCCATTTAGTGTAATGCAAATTCGATATGGTGGTTGTAAAGGTGTTCTTTCTGTATGTCCTGAATTGAATGAATGTCCTCAACAACTTGTTTTACGTCATTCAATGCGTAAATTTAGTTCAGATCATGATATACTTGAATCATGTCGTATATCTGCACCACGTAAAAAAGTTTTCAAAGAACAAAAAAAAAAAACAACAAATTTATGATCAAATTTATTTTATTTTTCTTAGGTCCACTCTATTTAAATCGTCAAACAATTGTTTTACTTTCACATCGTCATGTTCATGATGTAATTTTTTTATTATTACAACAAGAACATCATTTATGGTTAATTGAATCTTTATTATATCCATCCGTAACATATGATTTTCTTTATGATAAATTAACACGAAATTTTTTTCCATTACGTGAATTATTTCTTGATGGACAATTAAATTTAGCTGAAGAACCATTTTTTCGTCAATTAATTGTTACATTTATTCATCATGATTTAATTAAAATGAAAGAAAAATCACGTACACGTATACCTAAACAATCAGCTAGAAATCTTATTGGTGTTGTTGATGAATATGGAGTTTTGGTACGAGCAACAACAACAAAAAAAAATATATTATTTATTTTTATTTTTATTTTTTTTTCAAATAGGAATATGGTGAAGTATTTGTTCAATTTAGTAATTTACGTTCTAAAAGTCTTTATCGTCAATGTCAATCACAAAATAATTCTCCAAATATAAATGATTTAGATGATCAAATATCTAACGAACATGAATGGACAGAAACAACAATATTAAATAATATTCGTGTTGTTGTAACTAAACATCCATGTCATCATCCAGGTGATATGAGAACATTTAATGCTATTGATAAACCTGAATTAAGACATTTACGTGATTGTATTGTATTTCCTCAAAAAGGTAAAAGACCACATTCAAATGAAATAAGTGGTTCTGATCTTGATGGTGATGAATATGCTGTTTATTGGCTTGATCTTCTTGTACCAAATACAGAAAATTTTGAACCATATGATTATGATTCTCAACAACCACCTATACCATTATCACGTTCAATAACACGTGATGATATTGTTGATGTTGTTTTAACAATATCAGAACAAGATTGTTTAGGAAAATTATGTTGTACACATTTAGCTTATGTTGATAAATTAGGTGTACAACATGATGAATGTGTTGCTATAGCAGCAGCTATTTCAGAAGAATTAGATGCTGGTAAAACTGGTAAACATCCATTTAGTGAACAAAAAATAAAAGAATTAAATACAAAATTAGATTATAAAAGACCAGATTATATTGATAAAGATCAATTTGATCTTTATCCAAGTGAACATGTACTTGGTAAATTATTTCGTTCAATAATTCGTTCTCAATCAATATGGTCAATTATAAATCATTCAGCTTATCATCCAGAAGAAAAAGATCCATCATATAATATATTATCAACAATTGAACATGTACCTGTTGATGTACATCTTATACATCCAAGTTATCATCGATATACATCATCAGCATTAGATTTATATCGAACATATCGTGATGCATTATTAAATATAATGTTTGCATATCATTTTGTATCTGATATTGATTTAATATGTCGTTTTGATTCACAACAACAACAATGTATGTCAAAACATATTGATGTTGCTGATTCTGCACAAGTTGAATTAAAAACATTAATGGATAGAATTAAAACATTATTTTATGCGGAATTTAATGCAAAAGAAGAAGCTGAACGTTTACGAATATCTATGAGTGGACTTGGATCTTCAATAATGAATATGAAAAAAGAAGGAGAAATTTCTTATCTAGATGAAAAATTAGCCAAAGCTAGTGCATGTTATGTTGTTTGTTATCAATATGAACAAGCACAGCATCCAAAACGTATTCTCTCCTTTCCTTGGTTATTTTCACGTCTTCTACTTCAACTTCGACAAAGAAATTTAGCAGTTATGGCTAAAGGTAATTTAAATTTATTAAGAAATTAAATACATATATTTAATAGTGATTAATTTATTTAGCCATTGATAGACCAATAGTACAATTACGTGAACATGCAATAGTAGCTCGTGTAATGAAAAATGCACTTATGGGATTAGTTGAACGAAGAGAACTTCGATTTTATGTTGAATTTATTGATAATACAGAAGACTTAACAATTATAAATAAAGAAATTATTTTACGATTAGATGATCCAACAACAGGTGTTGAATATGATAATATTCATATTCATCTTATTGAAATATGTTTTATTGAAATTATTCATAATTGGTTAGTTTATTTCAAAAAAAAACAAAAATATTTTATTTTATTTTATTAAAAAAAAAAACTAATGAAATATTTTAGGTTATATCGTCAACGTGTATTTAATACAAATAATAATAATAGTCTATCAATAAAGAAAAAACCAATAATTAATGAACAACATTGTTGGCAACATATATTAACAAAATTTGTTTATGAAACAAATGAAGAAGGTCCATTTGATTGTTCAAATTTAATTATACGACAAGGACAATCATCAGAAAATTATTATTCATCAATAAAAAATTTTCTATCATATTGGCCATATGATGGTGATGATTATAATCAATGGACATATGATGAATATCTTTCAACAATGTATCATCATCTATTACGTTTAGCATCATCATGTTCACGAAATCATTTATTAAATGAAGAAAAATTTGATTTTTGTTATTTGCATGAATATTTAATACTTGCTTTACAAGGTATTGCAGCTGGTATTCAAGGACAACAAGATGGATGGGCTGATCTACAAATGAATGATGATGAACAATAAACGTTTGTTTTTAGTGTCTCTTTTGCTTTTTTCTAAATCTTAAATCCTACTGTTCGTTTCCTTTTTTGTTTTGTTTTTGCCGATCAATTTATATGTATCTTTGTTTCTTTTTTGTTCTGTATTGCGGCTTATTTTGGTGTACTACTGCGTTGCATTTTATTATTATTATTTTTCTTTCGGATCTTACGGACTGATTCGATTTAATCAAAAGAAAACATTTATTTATTAAGATAAAACATGATATATAAGTTAATTTACAACAGTTAATGAAACATTTTATTATTGGCTTGATTTTGTTGGTGTAAATCTTATAGTTATATATATATATATATATCGATTAATCATAGTATGAGAATGTTTCATTAAGCTATTATAAAGTACAAGTAGATTTTCTTATTGATTCAAGGATTAAAATTTAAGAAAAAAAACATGTTTTTTTACGCCCTACATATGTCTGACTATTTGTTAACATTTAAATAATTTTTCTGGTTTGCAATAGACGCTTCTTCGAAGTAGAAGATACTTGATTTACTATTGTGTTCAATTTTTAAAGTTTTCTTAAAGATTCTTGTATTTGTATCTCGTTTATTTTTATAACTTTTAGTTTAAAAAAGTTTTTTTTTAAATCTAAATAGATGTTGAAAATTTGAAAAGAATGTTTTCTTTAGAGCTTTAAAAGTTCATAAATGATCTTAACCTTAGTGTTTTAAGACTGTCTAGTTCAAATTTCAGAACATTATGCATGTTTTGATGTAGACATACTCAATAGATTTTCAATTCGATAAGAAAATAATTAACTAAGGAACATCTTTGGGAGAGATATAGTTGTCCTTAAGACTATAAGGATAACAGTTATTGACAGAAAAAATTCTTTACAGAGACTAATAACTTTATGATGTTGTTTATTCCCATGTTGATATCCCAAAGAATATTCCATTATATGCTTATCACTGTCTTGCATATCATAAACTATGGAAAACATTTCTTTGCTTAGTCAGATAGATTTTTGACTTATAAAACTAAGAATAATATAAACAATGGATGGTCAAGAAAAAAAAAATCTAATCAGACATTTTTCACTTCTGTTCTCTATGGTATATCACAAACACTTCTTTCTTGAATAACGATATTTCTAGTATAATATTGAAAATATATAAATAATTCTCTGTCATTTTGCTCAAATTATTGAACTTCTTGATATAATTCTGTAAATGTTTCAAGCTTGTGCTATATATATGTATATTGCATGTTTTATATTTATTAAATACATTCAATTATTAGTGTTTCAATCTATAATAAATTCAAAAGAATGAACAGTTCGATGTTTTTTTTTTCATAAACATAATTATGATTATAATCAATTGATAGAAAACTATGATTAATAATCGAATAGATCAATAGTTCTCACATTACACTTTAAAATATTGACAACTTCAGATTTCTACTTCTTTTTAACACTTATCTTGTGTTATCCAAAATCCCTATTGACTTCATTGCTAAGTCATCTCTATATATCTGCAAATATAATCTTATTTCCTTAACCCTTTGGGGACGGGTTACTGTACTATATAAAGCACACATATGTGCTTCCTGCCCCCAAAGGGTTAATAATAATGATCAATACTGCCGATTAGATAAAAATATTTCTAGTGTTATTATCATATTTTCTTGATTTTTCTATTTGTTTCATGATTGATCAAATCAACAATGACATAATTATCCTTATAGAATTGTTGTCTTACAAAAGCAAGTTGGCGTTTAAGTCAATATAATCTTATTTCTTTGCTCTTCTTCATTTTTTATTTTTTGATCATCATCAATCATATAACAGACGATAAAGAAAAATCGAAGTCGATATTTACCATGTATAGTTAACAAAAAAAAAAAAACCAAGAACGAACATCGTCAAAATTGACATTTAATAAAATCAAAACGATATATTCATTCGACTAAAATGTTTCATTGTAATCATTTTCTTCTTATTATATTTCTTTTAAAATTTTGTTTTACATTTAATAATAATCAACAATGTTTAATTCGTGATACATGTACAAATTCATCTTATATATCTCCATCAATTTATAAAGATGAACTATTTATACAATCACGAAATTGTTTTTGTGATTCAGTTTGTGAACAATATGGTGATTGTTGTTATCCTACAAAATTATTAACAAATAATTATGAATGTATAGATTATATTTTACCAACAATAGGGAATGAAAATCCTTTACATAATAATTTATTTGTTTGGATGCGTACAGAATGTTTATCAATATATATTGGTTCACAAGTTGATGTACAATGTCGAAATTTAAATAATCAAATATTTAATGATAATCCAATATTATTTATTCCAGTAACAAGTATACAAACAAATATAACATATAGAAATTATTATTGTGCTTATTGTAATAATGATGCAAATGAAAATATAAAATTTTGGGAATATAAAACATATTGTTCTAAAAATATTGTTGATAAACATAATGTAATTATAAATAATTATCAAGACATACAATATTATATTCATAATTTAACAAAAAATTGTTTAAAAACTATTATTTATCCTCATTATCAAGATAATTTTCAACCATCAGTTTTTATTCGTCCTTGTAAAAAATCTCTTCCGCCAACGTGTCCTTTAGATACATCAATTGATTTAGCACAAAATTGTTCATCATTTGGTACAGCTTATCGTTATGTACAAAATTCAAGTATTATTTATCATAATTATTATTGTGCTAAATGTAATCATATAAATAATAGTGATGAAATAACATGTTTAGATCCATATTTACGTTCATCATTATCATTGTTACCACAGATACGTATTAATCCACTTTCAATATTATTTGATCCAAATCTTCTTCAACGTTATTTAAATAATAATACAATACCTAATTTTATTTATTCAATTAGTTATAATTGTACAAAATTAAATGAATATTATGATTTATTTGAAAAAAAATGTTCACAAATTACAAATTCAAATCAACAATTTATTATTTCAATGAAATGTTCATATCCAATTCAAACATTAATTCAATCAGATGATAAAATTTATTATAATAATGGAAGTATATATCTTGCTAATGATTCGATTTTATTAATAAAAGATGAATATGTTTTTATTAGTAACAATGTAATTGTTTTTTGTGCTGATCGATGGAAAAATTTAGAACCATCATTAATTATTACACCTTCATTACCATTTTATCGTAATATATTATCTGTAATTTGTACTTCAATCTCTCTCGGATGTCTTCTTCTATTTTGTATGATTTTTTATTTAATTCCTTCTTTACATAATTTACCTGGAAAATGTTTATTATTTCTTTCTATATCATTATTTATTGGTCAATTAACATTTATTTCTACTTCACATTTAACTAAATATAATTCTATTTGTTTTTTATCAGCTATAATAATTCATTATTGTTATTTATCTTCATTTATTTGGTTATTAATTATATCTATTCATATTCATTCAACATTTAATCATCAAACAATACAACAAGATAAAATTGATAAAAATTATCCTCGTTTAATCGTTTATAATATTCTTGTTTGTTGTTCAACTGGTAGTATTATATTAATAGCATGTTTAATACAATTTATTATTCCACAATCAAAATTTTCTCCATCATATGGTTTAATTTATTGTTCAATATCAAATATAAATGCAATGATTATTTTCTTTCTTTTACCTATTGGTTGTTTATTTATAATAATAACAATTTTATTTATTAAAACTCTTTTAGCTATTTATCATTCACATAAAATAGCTAAATTAGTTAATGTAACATCTTCTTCAAATACAATAAATAATAATTTAATATTTATCTATGTTCGTTTAGCATCATTAATGGGTATTCAATGGTTTTTATTAATTTTTGCTCTTATTATAAGACAAACATGGTCATGGTTAATATTTGAAATAATTAATTCTTTACCTGGAGTATTTATTTGTTTTGGATTTTTATGTTCAAAACGTATATTAAATAATTTAAAACAAAAAATTTCAATGAAATTACTTATTAGACGACAATCATCACACAGTAGTACAACAACATCAACAACATTAACATCAACATTACCAAAGATAAATGTTATGAAAAAATTTCATTTTTAATTTTATATGTTTGTAAATTTTATTCAATGAAGAATATCAAATATGACTTTTTTTTTTTTTCTATTTTTATTCTATGTATTAAATAAGCAGTTTTCAGATGTAATAATCTAGCATCTTAAAAAAAAATAATAATAATAATTTTATTATTTCTTATTTGTTTTTTAATGACCACCTGAGAAGTAGAATGTAAATATACAGCAGACCGTTTTTTTTTTCGTTCGTATGTAAATTTTTCTTTCTTTTTCTAACGACTACTTTTTTCGTCGTCAGGTAAATATTAAATAATATAAGTGTTTATTTGTAAACACGTGAGACGTTTAAATGAAAAATTCTTATATTGTGATAAGAAGTTATTACCTGAGGAAACTAAAAGAATGAATTGATTTGAAATACAATTGGTTTGATTTTTATTATTCAATCAAAGTATATTTTTATCATTCATTATAATTATGGCTAAAATGAAAATTTCATCTTCACTTATTCAACTTGATGAAGATATTGATCGTATCATGTTTCTTTGTACACATATTACTCAAATGGCTTCGAATATCCGATCAAGTCATTTGTCAAATGTTACCTTTTCTGTTGAGAATACTCAATCATGTTATCATTCACTTTTATCTATGGCTGAACAAATAGAAGGTGCAGCTCTTTTACTTGAATCATTATTAGCTATTCAACAACAAAATTTCATGTTGAATGAAAAAAAGAAATCAATAAGATATCATTATACTCGAGATGAATTATTACAATTACGAAAACGTGTTACATCAACATTATCTAATGAAATTGAAAGTTTATTAAAACAAGTAGTTGAACGTGAGAGTAATGATTCGGTCGACATGGAAAGAAAATCATGGAGAGATATAAGAACAATTTTGACGTAATTTTTACAAACTAAGATTCCTTTTGTTAATGATATTTATCTTTTTCTCGTGTTTTCGGATGAAAGCATTTTTGTTTTATTTTGTATGTGGATTAATATAAAATTATATAGATAGAAAAAACTTGCATGAAATATATATTTTGTTATTCATTTTTGATGTCATTACTCAAAAGCCAGGCGAGTAAAAAGTATACAATAATAAGATTAATTCTTCGATTAGATTGGTATTCAATAAATTATTTATCTTCGGATCTACACTAAAATGAATTTTTAATTTATTAAAATAGACGCTTGAAAAGCTCTCTGATGATTTATTAATAAACTTTATATCATAAATCGATCAATGACAATGAATGTATGTATCAGTAGTAAGTTGTCATTTTAATTGACATGAGTACTTGTGAAAATAGTTTACTAAAATCAATGCAATTTATTAGTAAAATTTCTTCGTGTTAAAATGCGCATAAAAAACAAGTCCCTTTATGATATAACGTTTTTTTTCTTTACTTTTGTGAAGTAAAATAAATAATATGAGAAATATTATACAAAAACAAATCTCTCCAATTTTTCAACTAGAAATGTGCAAAGTTATCCTACTCTGTAGCGTAGAGTAAAAATAAGAATATCGAAGAGTGGTGTATGTTAAGGATAAGAAAATTCTTTAATTTTGCATACTAAAATGACCATTTTCATTTGACTAGATAATTAATGCTCTGTCCTAATCTACTTTGAACCATCTGTATAGCAATTCTTTCCGTGATGAAAAAGTTGATCTCATCAAGAACAACCTTTATTAATCATATGCATTCATCACTCGTTTAATAGACGAAATGCTTTTTTTTTCTTTTAGATGTTGTCTTTCAATGAATGATCGATGACCATTCGCAATCAAAGCAGTTCCATTAAATTTTAGTGATTGTTTCGTTTAGAAATAAGGAATATTATGATAGAAACTATGCCTTCAATTTTTAAAAAGGTATAAATAGATGTTTACGGACTTAGGATTGGATCACTCATGAGCTATAAACCTATGTCTAATTGATCAAGAAAAAAAAAGCAGTGAGCATGTTTGAACTCAATATACTTTTGTTTCAATAGGCAAAAGCAACGTTTTGTCGCCAGTGGTCAGCAATTTCGATCGTAATAATCGTCTTTTCGATCAAAACAGATAGCATATGCTGAATCATCACAGAAAAGAACATTAATAAATACGTGTTTCAAATTGTTCTGGTTCATTTGTTTTTCAACTTATTTTGAGCTAATTCTGTAGAAGAGAAGGACTCCACTTTTGACCGAAAGTAAGAGTTATGGGAAAAGTTTGAAATACATATAGATCAACACCATTTCGTGTGCTAATCCTGAATATGCTATCGATTTTGATTAAAACGATGATTATTACGACCGAATTTACTGAAAATTGGTCACAAAATGCCGTTTTTGTCTATTTGAACAAACGTTTTGTGAATTCAAACACTGCCAGTTTTTTTCCTGATAAACTACACACACGTTTATAGCCAACGAACAATCCGATTCTAAACCTGTAAACATCTACTCAAATAATTCAAAAAAATAATGGCTATAGTTTCTAACATCATCTTTTTATTTCAGAACGAAACAATCATTAAAATTCAATTGAATCGATTTCGCTACAAAACATTACCTATCCTTTAAAATAGTAGCAAATTCTTAGTTTTAATAAATCCATTATTATTATTTCATAACATGACTCATTTGTTTAATGTTTTACTGTGATCATTACTTTTACACACAATATAATTCATTTAAGTTACCCCTCTAAATTGATGAGTGTGTTACTCACACTGATTTAGTCATTTTATTTTATCTTTTCGATAGAATTGTTAAATCAAAAGTTATGTTGAAACATATATCAACAGCTCAGTGTACACAACAAACAAAAAAAGACAACACGCCAGTTATACTACTGATTCATTATTGTTTTTCATAAATAATCATACTATATACTGATAACTTTAATCTTCTGAAAGATAAAGTGTCAAAATGTCGAAAGGAAAATGTAGAAAGTGAAAATATAGAAAAAAAAATGTAGAAAAGCAAAATGTCGAAAATTATGAACCCCTGTAAATCCTTGTAAATCCTTGATGAAAAACTTTTTCTAAGATTTGATCAATAGAATGTAATACGGTACACATTCACAGAGCACAAAAGTGAGGGTGAGGGCGAAATCTGTGACCAACAAGGATTTAGATTTTCGACAATCTGCTTTCGACATTTTGCCTTTCGACATTTTCTCTTTCGACATTTTTCCTTTCGACCTTTAACTACCTATTCTTCTGAAAGAGTAAGAGAACTATCCTAATGTAGATTAAATGATTTTTTCGACTTTTACTTTAGTTTATAAGGTTACAGGTTAAATGTGCGATGAATAACTGTAACTTATATGAACAGTATAAGTTTAACTGTACCCGATTGTATGGTTCATATCGAAAACAAATACTATGATGTGACTCACAATTTTTTTTCTTCACACTACAAGTATTTTTAAACATAACTTTTCTAAAACTGAGTTCAATTGTGACATATCTCACACAACGAACGAGATTCTATATTTTTAAGGAGCTGAATGCATGTCAAAAAAAAGTCATATGATGTTTATTTTTGAAACAAAAGCAGCATATTATGCTTAGTTCCAAATCATTCACGAAATGAATATTTTGTATAACTTTTAGTTCAGAAAAGCCATTAGAAAACTTGGTATGAATGTTTGTTTATGTATAAAAGCTGCTTTAATGCAAGTTTTTGTGTTTCTAGAAAAGAACAAGTGAGCTAAATCATCATGCTATGTTAACTTTTCTAACAATTTACGAAAGTGACCTTAGAAGTATTTATGATCGAAAAGTCGAAATTTTGAACTTTTTCAAAAATCTTCGAGTCTGATTTGTTTGTCCGAGGGCTTTATTGCAAGAAAAGAAAAATTTTAATATACACGCTTTTCCAGCCGAAAGTTCTCATTCAAACATTCCTTCAAACTGCTAGTCAGTACGGATTATTTGCATCTTCAAAAAGCTTTGTTAGGATCTTATAGGTAATCTTCATTTTTTATAAACAAACAGTCTCTGACCAAATGACCCTGCCTCGAGAATTTTCATTTATCTCTGTATTGCAAATCCAAATTTCTCACTGTGACATGGCATTTTAATATTAGCAACAGTTACTGGAATGGTACTATGTCTAATTACTATTTATAATTTCATTAAAAAATTCACTAAATAACCACGACAGATTTTCACATTTCACAGCTCATACAGTCTTTCAGCTATAGTTTAACGAAGTTCCAATGACAGACGTTTTCATAATATCAGGATTCTTTGGAGATCTCAAAATGTTAGTGAAAATCTACACGAGTTTTGTCAACATACCAGGGCGTAAATCTCTACCGATTTTGACAGTTGGATATCACCGAGTGCTCATCAGAATCTGTTTATCGGGTCTATTAGTGATAATGTTTTTTTGTGAGAAATATACATATTGACCATAAAGATTAACTTTTGTGTAGAAAACAGTTTATTTTAGATATAATTTCATTGTTATAAAAAATCCACCACAAGTATAAAAAGAAATCAAAAATCAAGAGTTATACGATTATTACTATTTTCTTGTTTTTAAATGCATCAGCTTAGTCTTTTATCACATAGATTAATTTGAAAAAAATCAGTCTTTTATGTCAGGATGAATATATCAAGACATAACTTAGGCAGACATTGCACATATCTGAAGTTTTGCATTCCAGTTTTGTTGAATTAGATAATACTTGTTATTGATAGCAATATTGTAATAAGCCCCATTTCCGAGTGATTTCATATTTCCAAACGTCCAGGCACTAAAATTACAATATCAAATATATTGTCAATAGATCTCTGCTTTGAATATAATCTAGGCAATCAGTAGTATAGTTTGTTTCAAGTATTACGATGAGATATTTATTTATTTCAGACAGATCAAACTCGTATAGAAAAATACTCTTGTTAATTCAGTTCGAATTTCGTAAAAGCTGCCACCTAATGAAATAACTTTTCTGCAGACCTTCATTCCTTTTAGGATTCAAACGATCGAAAGGAATTTTTCTTATCATTCATAGATGTTAACCATTCAAATTAAGAAAAAGTTAGTCAAAAATGTATTTGACACCTCACAGA